ACAGTTCAGAGCATGACTGGCTCAAAATCCCTGATGCCTCAGTTGTTTTTATAAGGTTCGCTTTTAGCTGTTCTCATTCAAGCACAGCTTTCAATATAACACAGGTATTTGCTCTGCGATTTCTTAAGAGGACAGCTGGCCAGAAAAGACTTTCAGACCTCTCAAACATAAAGATTTTTCACCTGCCCTCTGTCCCATCAATCAGAGAATCATCTCTCACTTCCTTCAAGCCTTGGTTAAATATTTATCAAACTGCCTTGCCAGGATTTAGGTTAAAGAGCTATCCTATTCTGTGGGAGGGATGAGAAATGAACTTGCTTACAGGGAAGGGCTGGGGGGGTGGGCTGGAAATGTCCTCCCAAGTAAGTTGTGGTCAAATCTTGAAGTAGTGACCTATTGGGCTTATCTGCCCAGGAGCTATAGTGTGTGATAGGAAGCAGCAGGATGAAATGCCATGTAGTGTCACAGTCAGGCGTGGTGAGGCCAGCAGTGGGCAAGATAAAAAGCCACAGGGGCACACAGACCCAGCCTCTTCATGACGGATGGCCTTTGAGTCTCTTACTCTACTAGACACTGGGTTCAAGGCTGATGCTTAAATCCATGTCATTTCATCCATCTCACCATGGCCCCAAGAAGGAAGAATCATTATTGTCCCCTTTGTAAGATGCAAAAGCTGCTACTCAGAGATTCAGGACTTTGTCCTGGGTCACTCCACTGTCAGCAGGAAAGACAGGATCCAAACCTACGCAGTTTATCCCCACTCAGCTTCCTGGCTTTCTCTCCTTTTTGAAACCTGATTCTGCCTCTATAGCTACATGCTGCCTCTCTTGTTCTTTCTGTTTCTTGTTGCTTTCTTTGGAGAGGGGGAGATGTAGGAGGGAAGGGTGTATTTGTAATGTGATCGACTCTTGTGTGCATCTCCTGGAGAAGTCTTTAAAGAAGCAATGTTTCCGCCTTGCCCCAATCCTGGAACTTCCTGTCTACAGGAGTGGTTATACTGACCCTCTTTACACCTGGGTATGGGGGCGAGGCCAAAGCTTGCAGATTAGTAAGCAGAGGAACATGGTAGAGGTGATCCTTTGGGAAAAGTCTCTGACATGATGTTAACACAAGATCCCACTTGAATCAGTGGGAGAGGCAGTGCATCAGAACATGGTGCATCAGAACATGGGGCCAAAGTTCAATTCCAGTTCTAGCTGCAGGGCTGGTTATGTAACTGTTCTGAAACTTGATTTTCACAACTGCAAATGGAGGATACTAATACTTTGTGGGCTTGTTGGGATCATATATCTGATGGCATCCCCAAAATGCCTAAAGCCTAATAGTTGTTTGTTTAATTGCTAAGTCATGTCTGACTCTGACCCCACGGACTGTAGCCCGCCAGGCTCCTCTGTCCATGGGATTTTCCAGGCAAGAATACTGGAGTAGGTTGTCATTTCCTTCTCCATAATGCCTAATGGATGCTTCCTAATAATTATTAACATTTATTAGATGTCTACTATATGCCAGGCACCGCTCTAAGCATTGTAACATCAGTTCAAAATGTACTTATTGGTCACAACTATCCATCTTCCAACCGCTCTTTGACTCTGACTTTCTTGCCTCCCTCTTATAAGGATTCTTGTAACCGCATCAGACCCACCTAGATAACTCGGGATAACCTCTGCCTTTCAGGTCCTTAACTCAATCATACCTGCAAAGTCCCTTTTGCCAGGTAAGGTCACATAATTCAGGTTCAGGGAATTATGGCATGGATATATTTGAGAGATCATTATTCTCTACCAGACCAGTTATCTATTCACAGTATCCTGAGACACTGTCTTTGTGGTTGCTTGCTATGCAGCCTTGAATAACTGGAACAGAGTTATCAGTTCCAGCTTGGCTCCACCTTGCTGATGCAAACTTCCATGATAATTCTACATGATATTGTCATGCAGAGGGTGGCCAAGGTGCCAGGCTCAAGACAACCTGAAGGGGTCAGGGCAGCCAGGAGCTCCCAGGAAGACTTTGGAGAATGCTTGTTAGTGACTGGCTCTCTCTCTCTCCATACCTCCATCCTCAAAATGAGAAAAAGCCAGTATGTACTCCCAAATAAGTACATTTTCCAAAATTACTATTACATTAGCTTTGCCAAGAGACTCATCATCAAGTCGTCAAGCTGTCATCATCTTGGATGTTAATTTCTGTGGATTAGTAGTAGGCTATATAGTGTCTTTTACACATCCCATGACTTTTCTGATTCTTGTGTTCCAGTCTGGCTTCTTTTCTCCTTGCTTAAAATCTTTTCCATTGTTCTGCAAAACACTCATCAGCAAAGTGCAAGGAATTCTGCTGAATTCCTCTGCTCCTCATCAATAAGGTAAACTGTATGCATGGCTTAATATCTTTGGCTTCTGTCTTCTTACAAATGCCTGCGCTGTCAGGAACATATGCTTCCTGTCTGCTCTGATTTCATGCTATTGGTCTAACAACTTTATAAAATACCCTGGGTGATTTCTGAGTCCTATAAATGAACCCACTGCTGATCCCTTCTCCAGGGGATCTTCCCAACTCAAGAGTCAAACCAGGGTCTCCTGCATTGCAGACATATTCTTTACTGTCTAAGCCACCAGGGAAGCCCAAACATGTAACAAGTCAGTTCAAAGTCTTGGCTTAAGGACCCGCCTGGTGGTCTAGCGGTTAAGACTCTGTGCTTCCAATGCAGGGGGTGCAGGTTTGATCTCTGGTCAGGAAACTAAGGTCCTACATGCCATGTGGCATGGCCAAAATTTTGTTTTAAAGGCTTAGAAAAAGTTTTAGAGGCCAAGTTGAAGATGTATGAATGGACATCCTCATAGTATAAATTCATCACTTGCCCATTCATTCATCCATTTTTCCATTCATTTGCACCCTTGCATTTTTTCATTTATTAATTGAGCTTTTACTTCATGCCAGACACAGGGCCAATAACAGGTAGTGTGCATATTAGTGAAACGTAAAATAAAATCTTATGAATGAATGAGCAGCTCAAAGTTGAGCACAGAGGAAGAGAAAAACTTCCTTGTCACTGTGTCAAGCAAAAGGCAATGATAAGTCATTTCAGTAAATATTTGTTAAATGAATGAGGCGAAGGAACATGTGAGACTTCCAGAAGTACCAGACTGAGGAAATTGAAGTTTTTGCAGAGGTCAAAAATGTAAAGGCTAAGTTCAGAAGAAAGGTAAGGGCGAAATACTGCCAATTTGTTTTCTCAGGATTGGTTTGCTTTAGCAAAAAAACTGGAACTATTTTGGCGTTCTCACGAAAGTTAAAATACAACACTCATTGCTCTGAACCATCTTAGACCTATCTCTCTCTCCATCCTTTCCCTCCTCCCTCCCTCTTTCCTTCCTTCTTTCCTTCCTTCCCTGCAACCAGCAGTGTTAATGTTGAAAGTGTTAGTTACTCAGTCGTGTCCAGCTCTTTGCGACCCCATGGACTGTAGCCCGCCAGACTCCACTGTCCATGGGATTCTCCAGGCAAGAACACTGGAGCGGGTTGCCATTCCCTTCTCCTGGGGATCTTCCTGACCAGGGATTGAGCCTGGGTCTCCTGCATTGCAGGCAGATTCTTTACTGTCTGAGCCACCAGGGAAAATATCAATGTTAGCAACACACTCAAATAGCTGTAAAGTTCAAGGAAGTTGCTAAGTTAGAACCAGGGAAGAAAATATCAGGGACAATATCAACTGTCTAAAAAAAAAAACCCTTCCCCCTTGAAACGTAAAGAAACCCAAATCAAACTAACAAATAGTTGGACTTTTATTTAAAAAAAAAAAAATCTCACTCAGAGCCAACTGAGTCAACAGTGAAGATCGGTATTCCTCTACACAAAGACAGGATCCTGGAGTATAGAGCCCACCCTCTTAGCTTCCCACTTACCCACACAGTGACTTCCCCAAACAGCCCCCTGGACACCACTCAAAGCCAACTAAGGTTCTGAGGAACCCCAGTTTGTAGGTTTATCATATATGGCCTTTACTATGCTGAGGTAGGCTCCTTCTATGCTCATGTTTTGAAGAATTTTAATCATAAGTGGGTGCTGAATTTTGACAAAGTCTTTTTCTGCATCTATTGAGATTATCACATGGTTTTTATCTTTCAATTTGTTGATAAGGTGTATCACATTGATTGATTTGCATATATTAAAGTATCCTTGCATCCCTGGAATAAACCCAACTTGATCATGGGGAATGAGCTTTTTGATGTGTTGTTGATGTGTTGTGTGTTTGATGTGTTGATGTGTTGTTTGCTAAAATTTTGTTGAGGATTTTTACATCTATGTTCATAAGTGATATTGGCCTGTAGGTTTCTTTTTTTGTGTTTTCTTAGTCTGGTTTTGGAAATATCTATTCTAGGAGAAAGAATTTGACATCATCTCCATGGGCATTTTTTTATGGACAGGAGATGTTAAACCCTTGACTTGTTAACTATCTGCCCTTTTAAATGGACAGAGATAAGCCATCAAATATCACACCCTGTCCCAACTATCTTGAGATTGCAAAACGATGGGAACAATCTTATGGAAAATGGTGGTTGGCAGCCAACAAAAACACAGAGCACTGACAGTGCCAAAAGAGTGAAGGCGTGCCGACTCATTGTCCAAGGAATGACAGAGCGTGCAGAAGCTGGGAGGCTGGAAAACACAGGTCCTCCATCATGCTGACGTGAACTGTGTGCAGGGTTGCCCGGCCAAATCTAGGAAGCTTGTGCATTATCAGTCACGCTGTGAGGATACATGAGAACCCTAAATCCCCAGTAATGAACAGATGAGTCAGAAGATAGGTAAGAGTCAGTACATGAAAGGATTTGAAAGGGAAAAAAAAGGTTTTGTACTAAGATCAATGGCAAACACAGGATTTGACTAATCTTCACCCAGCCCTGCATGAGAGTCCTACTCTCTTGTTCAGCCCACAAAGAATACTACAGGCTGCATCTTGTAGGACTGGCAGCCACGACCTTGTGGGGGAAAGGCAAGCTCACCTGCCATGCTGCTGATGTTCACCAGCCTCCCCTTGGATTTTCTAAGAAGAGGCAGAAATTCCTTCGTGACTTCCACAGCCCCGAAGAAGTTCACGGCCATGCATCGTTTGTATTCGGTCATGGGAATGAGTTCCCCATCGGTTGGAAAGCCAAGGACTCCGGCGTTGTTGATCACAGCCCACAGTCCTAAGGACAGAAAGGAACAGCTCTGAGATCGGGCAATACCAAGACAGTGGGAGGATTTTTAATCCTTCAAGCTCCAAAGTCAAAAGGACCCATTTGAGACTTGAGATCTGGGCAAGAGATCACTTCAACTCTTATACCTTTGTCTTGGGGCTTCCCAGGAGGTCCAGTGGTTAAGACCTCACCTTCTAATACAGGGGGGTGTGGGTTCAATCCTTTGTTAGGGAACTAAGATCCCACATGCCTCATGGCCCAAGCCAAAACATAAAACAGAAGCAATACTGTATGAAATTCAATAAAGAGTTTAAATATGGTCAACATTAAAAAAAAAAAAAACTCGAAAAAAAAAAAAACCACACTCCCCGAAAACACGTGAAAAAAGAAAAAAAAGGGTTATAGAGAGATATTCTTTTGCCTCAAAGTTTATTCCAAGTCTGCCTCATGTTTCTCCCTCAAAGGAGTGTCTGGAGACAGAATGATGTCTCTAGGACATGCAGGTTCAAGACAATGTGTCTCACATGCAGTGAAACAATATAAGATCCTATCTTCCCTTATATAAGATCCTATCTTCCCGTTTCCTTTGACTGCAAAGTTCCCCTAGTACAGGGAAACAGGAAAACTAGAGCAGAAATGTCAAGAGCTAAGAAGACTGCAGAGTCCCTGAGCTCTGCTCCCTTCCCCAGTCAGCCTGATCCCCTTGACTGACCGGAATCACAAGGAGAGCTTGTTCACACACAGGTGGCTAGGACCCAGCTCCAGAGAAACTGATTGGGGGTGTCTGGGGTGAGGCCTGACAATCTGCATCTCTAGCAAGTTCCCAGGTGATGCTGACACCGCAGGCCTGGACCTCACTTGGAGAACCACTGTCCACAACTGGTGATTTTTCAGCCTTGACTGCACATTAAAATCATCTGGGGAGCTTTTTAAAACCCCGACACCCAGGCCACACTGCAGCCAATTAGATCAGCAACTGTGGGGTAGTAAAGAAAGGGGATCTCGGCATTAGCCATTTTTTAAATTCCCTACGTAGGTGATTCTGGTGTACAGCCAAGCTTCAGAGACATTGCCCTAAATGGCAGGAGAGCGGTAATACAGAAACTCCACGTGCTTTGTGGGGAGGAGGGTCTGGAGCCTGAGAGAAACAGGCGACAGGACCCGGAGCGTGTTCAGCTAGACAGACCTGAAGCAGGTTCTCTGAGTTCCCTGGGCCACTGTAGGGTTTAGGCCAGTGGTTCTCAAGGTGTGGTCCAGACCAGCAGCAGCAATTGGGAACTCGTTAGAAATGCAAATACTGGAGCCCCATCTCAGACCTGCTGAATCAGAAACTGATGATCAGAAATTACTGTTGAAACTCAGCATTGTGACATAACATGCCCAAGTGTGAGATGCATACCCACATGTGAGAAACACTGGGATATAGAGGTGCAGAATGAGCCTCCATGCTAGGAAAGGCACAGAAATGGCAGCAGACACCAGACCTAACAGCGCCCTTCTGATGATTTCAAAGAGGCAAGTAGCAGCCAACTTGCATGAGGACTGGACAGAGTATTGGACATCTCAGCAGAGTCCAGCATGAAGCACTGGCCATCAAACATGTAATGTCCCATCCCTAGGAATTCAGGATGCCACCATGCAGAAATGAGGGAAAGCTCCAAATGACTGACATGGTTTTCACCACATGGCTCAAGATAGAAATTGAGTTGGCTTATAGAAAATGAAGTTACATTTCTTGCACAGCTGAGTTGGTGGTCTGACATTTACATGCAGTAATGACTGGGAGTTGTAAGTGAGAGGAAGCCTGGCATGTAGTAAGAGCTCAACAGCTATTAGGAGGTTGGTGACAGGAGGAGAGGATGTCTCCAATTAATCCCTCCAAGTGATGGTTTTAATTGACTCAGTCTGATGCATACCTTTGACCAGTCAAATATACAGGTGGCAGCTTGAGAATGCCCTATGACAGGGACCAGCAAACAAATCCTATAAAATGCTGGATAGTAAATGCTTTAACATTGCAAGTCCTACTCACTCAACTCTGCCATTATGGTGTGAGCAGCCACAGACAATCCGTAAATGAAGAGGAGTGGCTGCATTCCAATAAAACAATAGGGACATTGACATTTGTATCCCATATAATTCTCATGTGTCCAAAAAATCTTCTTCTGATTTCTTTTAACCATTTAAAAATATAAACACCATCCTGAGCTCACAGGATATACAAAAACAGGTGGCAGATCTATATAATAATCTATATATCTTTATAAAATAGTCTTTAAATGACAAAGTTAGAGATAGAGAACAGGTTACTGCTATTGCTAAGTCACGTCAGTTGTGTCCGACTCTGTGCGACCCCATAGACAGCAGCCCACCGGGCTCCCATCCCTGGGATTCTCCAGGCAAGAACACTGGAGTGGGTTGCCATTTCCTTCTCCAGTGCATGAAAGTGAAAAGGAAAGTGAAGTCGCTCAGTCGTGTCCGACTCTTCGCGACCCCATGGACTGCAGCCCACCAGGCTCCTCCACCCATGGGATTTTCCAGGCAAGAGTACTGGAGTGGGGTGCCATTGCCTTCTCCGAGAGAACAGGTTAAGGATGAGAATATCGGTCTTCAGAGGTAACAAAAGAGAGTCTGGTGGTGATGGAACAGTTCTGTATTTTGAGTGTGGTGATATTGCACAAAACTACATGTTATGAAATTGCGAGCAAGCACACACACATACACACATGCACGCACAAGCGCTTGCATGTATAATTGATGAAATCTGAATGAACTCTGGGAATTACACCAATGCCAATTTCCTGCTTTTAATATTGTTCTATAGTTATGCAAGATATTAATACTGGGGGAGGCTTGGCAAAGAGTGAATCTACTATTTTTTCAAAATGTTAAAAAAAAAAAGGCAGGGCCACAGCTTGAAACTCCTGCCATAGAATTCTAAGCTGGCCAATAAACTTATTATACCTGTAGGGCTTCATAACAGTTTTTTAAAAATTAATATTAATAACAAACAAAGGGATTTCCCCCATGGCTCACATTTAAAGAATCCACCTGCAATGCAGGAGACACAGGTTCGATTCCTGGGTCAGGAAGATTCCCCTGGAGGAGGGCACAGTAACCCACTGCAGTATTCCTGCCTGGAGAATCCCACACACCAAGGAGCCTTCCAGGCTATAGTCCATAGGGGATCACAAAGAGTCAGACATAATTGAGTACGCAGATACCAGGGCAATAATGAACAATGTGTTCATACTAATTTAAAAATCTGCTGTGTAGGAACGCAGCACAGTTGCTGGCCCTCTTACAGGAGCTGAGGGTTTCTGGTTTATACACGTGGCCCAGAGGGTTCTTTAGCAAACATCCTTCTTCACGATTTTAAACGGTCTTGTTCTGCTGCTCGACTTTCTGTTTGACTTGAGAGGCTGAAGTCGAGACAGACCTCGAGAACAGGTAATTCTGCATCGGTGTTGAATCGGTATATTGGTAACTCTGCCTCAGTAAGGATTATTCTCCAGAATGCAGGCCCCAAAACAGCATTATAGTGTTTTCCAAATGCTCACACCTTGGAAAGCATGCTGATTGGATCCTTTCATCCCAGGACACTGCCATTGTTATTAGCATTTCAAGAAGTACTACTTTATTATTCACTATGGCCAATACTATCCTGCTGGGCCTCTCTAGATGGTGTACATTGAACATCTCCTAACAAGACACCATCAAGTCAATAAGAGGGATAGCAAGAGACAAGGCCAGGAAAATGACATTTCTAGAAAACAGCTATATTAGTTTCTTTTTTCTGGGTAGGTCAGCTGTGAAGAGGATATAAGGAGGAAGTCCTTGAGGCCTTCATGGAAAACCCCCAAGTGAAGTCAGAACAGGAGAAAGCAAAGCTAATTAAGAGAAGCTGGGTCCTGATGACATTGCTTGAGTGCCTGGATCCAGACATGCCTGAAGCAAACGGGTCATTTTAGTTATGTAAGCAAAATGCATTCCCTTTATGCGAAGAGCTGACTCATTTGAAAAGACCCTGATGTTGGGAAAGATTTAAGGCAGGAGGAGAAGGGGATGGCAGAGGATGAGATGGTTAGATGGCATCACCGACTCAATGGACATGAGTTTGGGTAAACTCCAGGAGGTGGTGATGGACAGGGAGGCCTGGCGTGCTGTGGTTCATGGGGTCTCAGGGAGTTGGACACGATTGAGCGATTGAGCGACTGAACTGAACTGAACTGAACTATGCTTTAGCAGTTTTGAATTGGGTTATGTCACTTGTATCTGAAAGAATCCTGATGGAAACATAGTTTTGGTTCTTAAGAAACCTTGTGGTGAGGAGTGGGAGATGGACATCTTTGTATAATAATGCAGTAATGAGGGTGTGTGCAAGGGGTAAAGAGTGAGTTTCCAGAAGAGGAAGTGAATGATGTAACCTGGATTACTAGGAGGGTCATGCAAGAGCTGTTATGTTTGAGATAGATCTCCTATAGAGTAGAGTGTGTGGTTGGACAAAGGCAAAAGTCTAGAGAAATGAAGTGGAAGCAAGAGGGAAGTTTGGGTAAGAGGAAGCTGAAGGTACAAAGTCATGAACTAGAACATTTTATTCTGGAAACCATTCATCATTTACTGAGTGGAATAGCAGACACTGCAGATGAAGGTTTTGGCAAGGGATATTCTCCTGAAAGGTCTTAGAATCCCTGTGAAGGTGTTTGATGGTGAATGGAGGACCACAGAACCGTTCAGTGAGATAAAGCATACGCTTGGCTCATAGGAAGAGCCCAAGACATGGAGGCTCAGTTTATCAAAGGAGATGTATGATACTCTAATATGCGCACATTGTAAAGACCACTCTCCACCTGGAAAGCAATGGGGAAGGAAACCCAATTGCAAAGAGAGCTCAGGTGGGAGATGAGGGTCCCAGTTAAACCATAGCTCCCTAAGGATAATAGGAAGGGGCGGGATGATAAAGATCTAGGACATAGAATTGACAGGACTCAGGACCAACAGGATGCAGAAATCAAGGGTAAGCTGCAGGCTTAAGTGACCCCCTGGTTGTTTGGCTTGAATGACTGATTAGGTGGCAGTGCCTGGGCTTCCCTGGAGGCTCAGACAGTAAAGAATTCACCTGCAGGAGACCTGGGTTTGATCCCTGGGAGGAGGGCATGGCAACCCACTCCAGTATTCTTGCCTGGAGAATCCCCCTAGACAGAGGAGCCTGGCGGGCTACAGTCCACAGGATCGCAAAGAGTCGGACATGACTGAGCAACTAAGCACAGCCGGTGTCTGAGCCAGGGCCTCAGTGGTCGGATGCAGGAGGGGAAACTGATTTACAGACTAGAAGCAAGGGAAAAATAATGAGGTCCATTTTTGACAAATTGAGGCTGGATATCTGGCAACCAGTTGTATATGCCTATAGGTCCTGACGTTGAAAAGAGTGCTAGGTTGTTAACACAGATTTAGAAATTACTGAATTAAATGGCAGTGTTTCTCAACTCTGGCAGAATATTAGCATTGCTGGAGGAGCTTTAAAATGTGCTAATACCTGGGGCGCCCAAATGGGATCTTCTTTATAGTGGACCTTCCCAGCTAAAGGAGAGCACCAGTACCAGCCTCGCTGCGGGAGGATCTGCTGAGTTACTGTCTGTAGATACCGATTTTATCTGCTGGGGAAAAGTCCCCAGGCTTCACGGGAATCACAGACGTGTGACCTGTGCTTCAGAAAAGCTTGGTTTAATTTTCCACTGGCATTACCTTAACATCTTAAACATTTTGTAAACAAGGGGCCCCACACAACTTGCAATTTTGTACTGCATCCCCTAAATTACATAGCCCATCCTGGGTCCACACATAGGTATTTTAAGACACTTCTCGGGTGAAAATTCCTGGTATAGGAAGAGAAACAGGATAGCCCAGGAAATTTGGAGTGGGGTCTGGGGATGGAGCCCTCAGTAACATTCACATTTAGGGGACTGGCACGGCGGACAGAGGAAGGAGGTTCATACAAGAGAAGCAGAAAGAATGATCAGAGAACTTGGGGGGCAAAATGTGGCTGGAGACCCCCAAAGCCCAAGGAGGGGAGGGTAATCAACACATTCAAACACTGCGGAGAAGTTAAGAGCTTGGTGTTCAGGATAATACACTGATTCCCTTGGCCAGACCAGTTAAGGAGATGTGTCAAGAAGTGAAAACAGGGCAGCAGGACTCGAAAGAGCTTGGCTGTGAAGGAAGAGGAAGGGAAAGGCGCGGGCTAAGGGAAGACAGCCATTATGAAGCTATTTTCAGTCTAATACATGTTAGTATCAGCAAGAGGAAAGACATGTGGAGGGGCAGTAAGTAACAGGAGAGTGAGTGAGCAGAGGTTGGAGGGAATGAGATGGAGAATTCTGTCAGTTCTGAGGAAGGACCATGCCTGACTCCTTCCCAGTGTCTTCATATCTGCAAGAGGTCCCAGCAAGGGGCAGGGGCTCAGCGCAGGGGTCTCCAGGTGCCAGGACAGACTGGACGGAAGTGGTAACTAAAGGCTAGAACCAGTGTTGGGCATTTGCAAGGAGGGTGGCGGGCAATCGAGGACACAGGTAACTGAAGGCAGTACCTTTGTTCTGCACCTTCTCCTTCACTTTCCTGTAGGCCTCTTTTATCTCCTGCGTGTTGGTGATGTTCAGCTGGAACACAGAGAGATGCTTGGAGCAGGTTCTTCGTAATTCCTCTGCTCCGGACCCCTGTTCATCCAGAACTCCGGCGAACACAGTGAAGCCCAGCTCGTCCAGATACCTGGCCAAACCATAGCCAAACCCAGAATCACAACCTGCAAGGGGCCAAAGCAATAAAAAATGGGCTCAGACTAAAATGGCAGGAGAAATTACTGAAGAAAAACTCACTGCATGCTGTTTATGGTGGTCTGTGTTCCCTGTAGAGTGTGGGTCTTGAGGAAGTTTTCTCCTTTGCTAAGTGGAAAATGGGCAGAGAAGCCACAACAGACAAATTTCTCCTTATTAGAAAAAACTGGAGGTGAGGAAGAAGTTGAGGTGGGGACATAAGAGGAAGGAGAAATGCTGATGAGGGGAAGGGGTCCAGGAGTGACTGGTGGCCAAAGAATGTAGCAGAGAAAACTAAGACATCTGACAGAAGCTTTTTTACTCATCTCTACGTGTAGTATTTGATGTAATAACCTCCATCACTGCATACAATCTTCAGTAAAATTTTCATTACAAACTAACAGGTTGGAGTTGGTTTTTCTTTTTAAAGATATAACAAAATGTCAGGTGCTTCTTCAAAGTGGACCCGGGACAATAGCAGGGGCTACCCACGGGGTCCAATTCCTTCTGAATTATGAAAGATGAAGACTCCTAGCCACCTGCCCTTCTCACCTCCTTAGAAGCTTTCCCCTAGCCGTGGCCTTCTCCCAAACCACTGAACCCTAGGAAGACACCTGCAACAGAAACCAGATAGCAGTCCCTAAGTGCACCGCTTTATGAAACCAGAGGATAAGATCATATGCAAAACATATGTCAAATTGCAGAATTTTTTTTTTTTTTTTCTAATCAGAAAAGGCCCATTCCTGTAAATGCTAGAAGGAATTTGGTCCATGTGCTTCAGAGAACACAAATACACAGTTACTTTTTCCAATCCAAATTTCTTGCCTATTTTATTATTTTTTTAATTTGCTGTACAGTTAGATTTTATTTTTTCCCCATTTATTTTTATTAGTTGGAGGCTAATTACTTTACAATATTGTAGTGGTTTTTGCCATACATTGACATGAATCAGCCATGGATTTACATGT